TCAATAAAAGTTTGCCTTCAATATGAATTTGACTTTAAATGACTGTTTCTATATATAAAGAGTATATAGAAATTACGAATAACATTATGGGGATACATAGAAAAGTTTTGTACATATTTTTTTGGATTAAATAAATTTGCGGATTTAGATTGTGTTTTTTGAGAAAAATTTGTAAATTGTAACGAATTTCAAGCACATTCATGGGAACAATGACATAAGTCAAAGTGCATAGTCGCAAAATTGCTTTAATTACTATTATATTTTAATATATATAAAGCTTTACGGTAATAAAATAATACTAAATAAACTGTAATAAATTTGTTCATATTCTTGTAGAAAGGCTCTGTACCAACGTTTTATAGCCTTCGATAGAAAGCCTTACAGTCGACTATAAATACTTTAAATACCGGTTATCGAAGTTATACTCTAATTACTTTCTTACAATCCAAGATAAAACGAGAAAACTATAGGTGAAGTCGTAGATATTTAAAGAGATATATAAACAAATGATTGAAGTGAAGGATTTATTTGACTATGATGAAAATTAATTTATAATAATATTCAAGAATTTTTGACCAAGAAGCTCTAAAACTTTTATTGTACATATTTATTTAAATCAAAATGAATTTTTGAACAAGAGTGTAATAACAAATTCGAATAACGTTGTTTTGTCACTAGATTTTCTTCTGGTTCGAGAAACAAAAATACCTTCAATCAAAATTTGTCACATACAATGGTTATTATTGATTAAGATATGTAAAGTAGAAAAAATTTCTTATTAAATTAAATCAAAATACAACTAAAAGTTCAAATCAGAATTAAAGAAGGAAAATCTCTTATGACTAATCCAATTACTTTTCAATATTCCGGTTACATAAACATTAAATTTTTGATGATTCGGTAAAAAATTGTTATATGCTCCTTTACTGCTGTAAAAAAAAACTCATAAAATTTTTCTTATCACTTTTTTTAAAATTTCTGGCAAAATTAAAAAAAATACATATTTGTTTACTTTTAAGTCGATCTTTGCATCAGTTTACAAAAATTGTAAACGCTTTAAGACAGAAGGGTGAATTTTAATACTCAAATGAATGTTGTTGAAATACCTATCATTCAAGAAGAAACTTTTTAACACTCCATTCATTTAAGAACTATGGGTCCTTAAATGTCATCCTTTGATAACTTGTTATAGAGAAAGCACAAATATTTTTATTAAAGTTCCGCAAACGGAGAAAAGTATAGGAAGTTGCTTTTTGAAATTGCATATAAAAACGTAAGTGACAAAATGGTGATTGTAAAAGATTTTTTCGTTTTTTTTCAAATTCTTCGTTTGTTTAAAGGAAATGTGCTACTTTACTAACCATTGGTTTCATTCGAATTTTTTTTTGTATACATTCAGATTTGTAATGCGTAACGATAATGCGGCAACATGCATTGCTGTTGAAACTGAGGTTGTATTAAAATCGATGTTAAAATAAAATTTATAATTTTTTTTTTATTTAAATATCGTAAAATGTATATAAGAGGATTTTCTTCAACATATTTTAAGTAATAAGTATTATACTTACATAAAAAGTATGTAAATTTCAATTCCATTTAAATTTGTAGCCTGTAAAAAAACATCGTAAATATAAGAAAAAATAAAAAAAGTAGAACGAAAAATTTTTTAAAATTTTGTTTATGTAGGTTTACACACGACCTATACATATAAATGGATTGATAGTTGTGGATTAAAAAATTTTAAAATTTAATTATTTAATTCACTCTTAAATTTCCTTGTCAGATATTAATGAAAGGTGAATTAGCAATATTTGGTATAATTTTTCGTCAAAATTCTTTGAATAGAACATCTCTAGTCAAACAATCAAATTAACGTCCCTTAAATTGTACAAAATATATTTTTTGGAAAAAATTCTGTGAATTTTAATTATTGTTTTAATTTTTTCATTAAAATTGTGCATTTGCTTAATTCAATACTCTATCTTAACATATGACCATATAGATAGGGTGTTAAACTTCCCTTCATCTCAAAATTAACTTCCAAAACTGTCTGTCAATATAGTTCTGCTTAATCACAGAATGTCTTAAATGCAAACCAAAATCGAATTTCTTTAAAACAGAATTATTATATAATTCCTTAAAAAATTTACAGGGATCAAGTTGTTTATGATGTAGGTAATGTAAAACCATGGAAGGTAATGTAAATAACTTCTTAAAAAACCATTACTCCAGTAAAGATTTGCCTAAGCATTAAAACAAAATTTGATATATTTTCTTTCTGGTTTTTAGAATAATTTTCCTAAAAAGCGCCTTAGTCTCAGGCTCAGTCAGCGAAGGGACGTCGTATATCAACGTCAGGACGGTATAGTCAAAATTTAATTAAAATTAATGAATATTTAATCCTGAAGTAATCGAATAGGAAACATTTGATTGACGAAAGAGAAATTCTTGCAGAATTGTTCAAAATTAAAAACTATTTCCCTATTGGTTTCGAACATTATGCAACCCCATTTACCAATTTAAATTTAATTTAGTTATTGATTTTCACACTCCTTTTAAAAAATAACTTTTTTAGTAATGCAAATCTAAAGCACGAGTTAAATTTTCTAATTTTAATTTTTATATAATATTTATTTTTTAATTAAATTTTCATTAACTTATACGAATGAATATTTCAAATAATATACAAGCGATTTATATTATTGATCTTTTATATTATTAATTTTCAAAAAACCAATATAATTATAAGCATTACAGATGTAATCACATTTAAAAACAAATACATATACTTACATATATATATTATGCATATATTTATGCTAAGAGTGTAATAATATCTACTTATTTCAACATTAACACTTTTGTGAAATTTTAATATTTTAAGCCTCTTTATATTATATAAAAAAAAATAATACAAAAGTGTAAATAATTTTATAAATAAATAATCAACTTTGTCACCTGTAAAACTTTTTGTATATATACAAGAGTAGGTAGTATATTTGCAATTTGCAATTTTTACGAAATTTAAATATGAAAATTTAAAAATGAAATTGAAATAATTGGATTTTGAAAAAAATATATACTTTTTATTCGTACTCTTCCGTGTCTGTCTTTTTTTTTAATAAAACTTTTATGTTCTTAAAGTCAAAAAGCCAAAATTTCATATTCATAAAAATATGTAGAGAAATTCCTTAAAACACCATTTTTGATAGCTTGTCATCGTCAAACTTCAAAAAATTTTCGTTTCCTGCTTATAATAAATAACAATTTTTATTGGTTTTTAGATATTACCAAGTGCATCCCCGCTGAATGAAGAGAATGCATTTAAAAACTGTTTTTTTTTTTAACTTTTTTCTTTTTAACGCTATAGCCTGCAAAATTTAACTAGTTTTCGAATTTTAATTTTATTTGTCCATAACCTTACTCAATTTCTATAAAACGATAATTATAACGGTAAATTCAGGTTTTTAAGATGCAATTTTTAATTTTACAATTACTGCTTGTTTGTAAAATCGTTGCGGCCACTTCTACGCCACTAAACTATTGCGTCAAATCAAATTATGTGAGTTAACTAAAAATTGCAATCTGTTTGTAAAAAATTATGAACTATTTTAATAATTTTTTTTTACAAAATGTTTAATGCTTAATTGCATGCAACCATACGGTTGAATGTGTGCGCGCTTGAATATTAACCTGTGCAATACAAATAAGCAATCAAACAGTTGCAAAAGTAAGAATTGTATGTCTATTTGAGGCCTAACTGTATGTAGTAATGAATTTCATAATTATAGAATGGAAAACACGTTTAAAAGAAATGTGCTACTAGAATTTTTTGTTCTAGTTCATATTTTGTCAAGTGATGCACGTATAACTTATCTATATCTATAGTAATGACCTATTTAATTTTCCTTTTTGCAGAACTTTCGAAATAATTAATCATTTTTGTTGGATGCAATTGAACTGATTGTTTCTGTATGTATATAGTAAAGTACTCCTGTTTACAAATTTCTTTAATTCTGCTAAATTTCTGAAATACTTAAAACAGAAATTTTGAACTTTTAACTAAAATAACCTTTATGCCACAATAATAAAAAACTAATTTTTTAGAATTAAATCTTTTATGTAGCGTCTTCACTCTTTAATGGAAACAGTTCTTAAAAATTTTTCTTAAAATAAATTTTACATTTATATCAAATTTTTCTTTTTTTATTTTTATCTCTTTTAATACGAATTTTACTAATTTCTTTTAAAAGTGGAAAAAAATTAAAAAACTTTCTTCATTTATAACTATTTTAAGTTCTTTCACATAAAAACTAAGAGAAAATGAAAATTCATAAAAGAAAAATTTCCATATAAGTAAGTATTCAAACAAAAATGAAAATAATTAAAAATGATATTTTAAACCTTGTACACATTGTTGCACTTATTTCTCTTAAAAGAAATTTATACAAGTGTTTCAGATAAAATTTAATAAAATTCAAGAATGCAATTATGATAACAGAAAAGTTTTTATTTCATTATGTACGTATAAAAGAGAAAATATATTTGTATGTAGCAATATAAATTTTAATAATTTAAAATTTAAATTTTCAAAATCTTTTAAAATCACAAAAAAAAAAAGTTTAACAAAATTTTTTAATTGTACATTAAGAAAAGAATTGCGGAAATTTGCATACTTACGAAAATATATATATATATAATAATAGAGTTGATAAAAGAAATAAAATACAGTAGAGTCGCGATATAGTGACCAATTAAATGTTCAGGGTGGTCATTGTTACGAGGAGTCTACTATTCCGAGACTAGTGTTTTTTTTTCTTCAATCAATATTATAATTTATTCTTCATCAGTAAAGGTTACATTTGTTTCAGAAAAATAATTTTAAAACTCTTATTTTTAATAAAGTACGCATATTTAATTTTATTTAAAAATAAAAATTATAAAATAAAAGTAATAACATCCATTCAGTTCAAAACAAATAAATAAAACAAAACTAAAAATTAACAAAGAATCTGAAAACATAAGTTAGGAATTTAAATAACTTTTTACATTTATTTGAAAGAGTTCTGGTTTTGACGCATTCATTTGAAAAAATCTGTAATCTTGCATTCTTTAAATGTTTGCTTACTTTGCTCCAAAAGAGCTGTTTTCGAATATTTTTCAAAACGGAAATTTCTTCGTTTGTTGCACGATTTTCTAATGCGTATTTCAAACAGTCGTTGATGGCTTTGATTCCATCAGAATGACTCATTTTAGTTTGAACTTCTACTACCTCTTCAGATACGTCAGTATCATCAGATTCAATTTCAACAGCAGGAGTTTCATCATCTAAGTTTACATCTTCATTCCACGTATAAATATCTTTTGATGATAAGTTGGCATTTGGACAAATCTTCTGAAATAATGATTTTGTAATGTTCATTTCCTGATCTGAAAACATTTGGGATTTTAAATTTATTAATGGGATTTCATCTTCAGAATCATATTCATTATCGAAAGAAGTAGAAAGAATTTTTTTCCAACACTTAGCTGTCATTACAGGTTCTAAACTTTCCCAAACTTTCGATAAGTTTGTAACAGCATTACGAAGGTTAAATTTTTTCAATATAAATTCTAAATCTTCAGCCTTATTTGCGATTATGTGGGACAGAAGTAGATTTCTGTATTTCAATTTTGTGATTCTAATACAGTTTTGGTCCATAGGTTGGATTAGGGCAGTAACATTAGGCGGCATAAACATTGTAATGATTTGACCATCATCACTTATGAGTTCATCTTCAGGTGGATGACTTGGAGCATTGTCAAGCAAAAGAAGAGCTGTTTTACGAAGACCTTTGTGTTCAAGGTAGCATCTCACTTGAGGAATAAATTTTGTGTCGAACCATGTTTTGAAAATTGAGCAAGTCATCCAAGCTGATTTTGAAGAATCATAATCTACAGGAATGCGTTTATTTTTCAGGCAACGTGGATTTTTTGACTTTCCAATAACAAGAGGTCTTATTTTATGATCACCAGACGCATTCGTGCACGCTAAAAATGTCAAAAGTTTGTAAACGTTGTTTACAAACTTTTCGGCCAGGCGCATTTTTTTCTTTGTTTGAAACGTAAGTTTCAAACAATATAAGCCTGTTTCATCCGCGTTGTAGATTTGATCCGGCGCTAGATTAAGCTGCTTTATTTTTTCTGCTAATTTGATTAAAAAAGGATCTACAAGTTCTTTTTGAGAAGACAACTTTTCACCACAAATTTTTATAAATCGAATTCCGTGTCTTTTTTTGAATTTTTGGAGTCAACCAGAACTAGCAGAAAAGTCATCTTTTTTATATATTTTTTTGTAAAAGTATTTAGCTTTGTTCTTTAAAATGGTACCATCAATCGGTATATTTTTTTTTCTGCCTTCTAAAAACCATTCATACAACATTTTTTCTAGCTTAAAGAATTCACCAGTGCGCATTGTTTTGCGTTTACCTATACAGGTAAAAAAGTAATTTTTACACAGAAATAAACACTAATTATAAATTAATGTATGTACTTCTACTTACCTAGGCCACCAAATGAATTAGAACTAAGTTTTTGACTCTGTTTTTTTATAGAGAAAATTGTAGACTTTGCAATACCATACTTCTTTGCTAAAACTGAACTGCAGACTCCTTTTTTTAATTCATCTAGAATTTCTAACTTTTCTTTTAGAGTTAAAAATTTTCTAATATTTCCAGTCATTTTTACTTATTAGGAAATTGAAAGACTACGATATTATTGTTTTAACACTTCCAAATTACTGACAAAAAATGTAAAGCAATGTACAGAAATGCAAATATAGAAAGCAAAACAAAAAAAAAACAACTCCAATTGTAACGGTTTTACAATAAGGAAAAAAACATGTGGTTGATTTACAAAAAATATTTTTTAGGGTCACTATTTAGAGTTACAAAATTGTTTTGGGTCACTATTTAGAATACGCAAAATTCAAATGGTTGGGTCACTATATTGGGAGATCACTTTACTGGATGGTCACTATATCGCGACTCTCCTGTAAAGGTATGACAAAATTTATTAAGACTTTTCTTTAAATCCTTAAATTATTACATTTCCGGAAGCTTTCAATTCAATTCTAAAATCAAATTTTGTAAAAAAGCGTTCAGTAAATCATTTTGAAGAAAAAAATATTTCTTTAATTTATTGATGTTATGTCTGCAATCAAATATAATGAAACTTGTCAAGTCAACCACCCTTCTAATTGGATTAAGCCTAAGTTTTTGAAAATTGGTTGAACGAAAATATTTCCATACAAAATTCATACAAATAACCTGGCTATACTGACCAATGATCACCTGTCAATGGCAACTGCCTGTCTTGAAAAAATTTTCAACCAGTTTTTGTTTAAACCTGTAAATTAAACTGCTAAATTTCTTTAAAATGAATAATATACTTAGTTTTACGAATAAATTGATTAAATTATGCATTTAAATAATTTCTACTACAAAAAAAAACTCCTACATCTCAGCTCTGCTAAAATGATTATCTGCCTATATTGGCCGCTTTTGATTGGAATCATCAATTGCCATCATCCGCAATGTACACAATAATTTGATAAAGGTATTTTGGTGTGGAATAAAATAATTGAATTTATACGATTTTTAACGTCCGCCTAGAAAGCGGTAGGTTCGAGTCTAGTTCGAGGAGAAAAATTTTTTAATTTTGAATGAGAAGTTTCCATTAAGATAATATTAAGATTATGTCTTTTTTTAGATGTAAATTAGAATTTTAACATTTTTCGGTTGAGCGTATTAGCACAACTCCCAACATAATAACTATTAATGAAATAGGTAAAAATACTAAAAATATAATTCCCGTTTCTTTAGTTTTAATTTTACTATTCAACTCCCGAATGCCAAAGACACGAGTTCTAAATAAAATCTTTAATTGCTGTTCTGAATAATTAATGTAATTGATTCTTAATTGTAAATATTATTTACGGTCAATTAAAATAGCGTGAAATTAATATCTGATTTAAATTTTAATAGATTTAATTGAAAATAAAATCATGCTTTTTTGAAAACCTTGTCTATTATAGAGGATTAACCATTTATTGACATAAAAAATATTAATGCACGTTATAATGCTGAACCAGTTTTATATTTAAATATCAATATTTTATTTTTATTTTACAACATAATTGAAGTAAAAGTTATAATTGAATTTTTTATTAATGCATAAGATAATAAAAAAATGTGGGAACAAAAATCATTAATATAACTTCAATGGAATATTATACTATAAACCCCAATCCAAAATAGTTCGAATATGAATGTACACACGTATAAATATCATGTAGAACATTATTTTATTGAATTATCTCACAAACTTTTGTTTTAATATACTAGTTTTAATATATATTATAATAACATTACAATATAACACTATAGTATGCCTACACATTCCGAGATATATTTTTCACTGATGTATATGTACATAAATATTCACTTATGATTGTTAAATAAAAAATTCATTTTGCAGCAAATTAACATCAGTACTATAGAATGAATAAAAAAAAACCATGAATGTGAATCCAAATAAAAAACATAATTAATTAAACCACATTCACAATATATGTAGTTTAAATAGACAAAAATAAATCAACCATATCAGTGGCGGATATTCATAATACTGAAATGGAGGGCGATTAAAAATTCCAAAAGGATGCAAATTTTGTATATAATTTGACATTTATATATTCCCGATACCGTGCAATACAACGATAGAATACCTTGTTCAGACTTATGTTATGTTGCTATAATTTCTAGCAAACACAGTTTGCATAGGAACAAATAATACCTTACTCAAATTATAAACTTAGTTTAAAGCAGCGTTCAAAATTTTGCATCCAACTTCCTCAAAATATCAAAAATTATTTGAAAAATTAAAAAATTCATTGAACTGGTATTTGAAAATTAACAATTTTAACAGTAAAAGAAATAATATTTATGTTTTCTTGAAGAAATGGCAAAATTCTTACAGTTTACTTAGCAATTTATATATAAGATACCCTCTAGAAGAGCTTAAAGTTTCAACATTAGAAAATGCATTTTTGAGAGGAAAAGAATTATTTTAAAAAATACTTTGATAAAATGATTTTATATTGCACCTTAGTATATGCGGCTTATGTGGCAAATGTAGCATTTTATTCATATGAAGTACAAGTATATCTTAATTCCAAAATGGTTCGTCAGCACTGACTTATATACAATTTTTACAATACATATGGGTATGGGTTGTTAATGTCAAAATGTTGATTTTTTTTTTTGTTGTGCATTTCTTTTCTACATACTTTTCTATAGAGAATTTTCAAATGTCAGTCATTCAAATTTCTTACGTATAAAAGTTCATGTCAGTTTCACATGTTCAGTAATTTCCATGTAAATTTTTTTTTTTGCATTTTCTGTGCTATGTACATATATATAAATGTACAAAGTACTGCAATAGTTTACTAAAAACTCGTGTAATTCATAGATTATCCATAAAATTTCATGTATATAGATATATGTATTACATACAATAGTGTTTATTTGCGTGTATAATTTTTGTGTTACTGCTATTATGCAATTTAATACAGCACAATGCGTTGATAGGTAATATCCTGTTGATAATATGGCGTGAGGCGAAATATAATGACTTGAAATGATTTTGTTTGTTTTGAATGAACATAATTATTATCAATTTTCATTTTAATAATCCAATAATCTCTGCAAATGCAAATTTTGACATTATTATTTATGCAAATTAAAATAAATATTTGTACAAGGAATACGATTTGTTCTTATTACGTTCAATCAACATTCAATGTATTTTATAAACTTAGGATAATTTCTTAAATTTAAATAATAATCGGAACGCCTGAAATAACAATAAGAAAATTTCGCTTTTAGTATTTTATGTCGTCTTTCTTAAAATAAAAATTTTAAGATTTATAATAATAAAAACTGCACACTTTCTTCAGAAAATTTTGTACACTATTATGAATTTTAGGAGACAGTTTATTTCAGGAAACAGTTTTCATGAGCATGCCTTAAAATTCGCTCATAAATTCTAACAACTATAATGGACAGTCAGATCATGCATTTACTTTTTAACTACATGCATTCTGTAAGACATTTTTTTTTTAAATTCAACCAATTTACAACCCGACCCCTAAATAAATGCAACTTGAATTAAAAAGCACATTTAACTAACAAATTTATACACTTATTTAAATTAAATGAGCTTAAATTTTACAAGTTCTTTTAAACTTATTCTTAATGTGATTAATAACAGAGGGTGCATAAATTTATTAAAAAAAAAAAATAATTTTGTAATTTACAATTCAGGTGATTTTAATTTAAATTTACAATTATTTAACAACGAATAACTTAATACTTAATTAGAATTATTAAATTATATTCAAAAAGTTTACTTCATAGTATCTTGAAGGGTAAATTAAAGTAATCATCTCACAACTCAATTAAAATTAACGAAATAAATGATAAAATAAAAAGATTCCAAAATTTCAATTAAATTTTTATTATATTTGGTTGAAATTATCTTAAAAGTGGAAGTAACACAGAAAAAAGTGAATAAAATTTTACCGTTTAAATGGTAATAAGTATCAACTTTTAATAAGTATCAACGGAACATAGACTATACAAAAGAGAAATTTGTTTAATTTTACAGTTTAACCCAATTAAGGAGCTTTTAAATTGCAAACCATTTAGTGTTTTTGCAACCAAACAATGCACTTATACGACTTAACGCAACCCGTAATATTGACAAAGTATAGTTCGGAATGTTGGCGTAACACAAAAATTTATTGACCGCCGAGAAAAGCTTTGATTTTATCATGATACTACCTTATCTCTAGGCCAAGTCTATTAAACTATTATGAATAGGACATTCTTTTTTAACTCAAGACTATGACTGAGCCCTGAGACACACGAAAAACTTATGTATAGTTAATTTCCAAATTTGTTTGAAAGAGATAAAAGAATAATATTTCCACTACAGATTTTCCTAATTAATTAATCTAAGAAAATTTTCTTAATCAACTTAGGG